AATGTATATAAAAAAGATATAAAATTTAATTATATATTGTTTTATATCTTATACTTTTAGTTTGCGTATTTTTAAATAAATTATTAGAAAAATTTATTTATGGAATATCTTTAATTTTGTATATCATATTTAAGAATACATACATATGTGTATGCCAACAACAACGCTTATTTATTAATTGTTTATATTTATTAAATTAAAATTTAATTTAATGATGAGATAATTTACTAAATTAAGGAATTAATTAAAATTATTTAAAAATAAATTTATTTGTTATTAAAATAAATATAATATATCTGACGTCTTCAGCACCTGTGGAACGATTATTTTCTTTCGCTGGTATCGTTAATACACCCAGGCGACATGCGATATCAGATGAGCATTTTCAAATGCTTACAGTACTAAAAGGTAATATAAATTTCCACTAATTTAAAAAATTTTGTTAATGTAAATTATGAAAATTATGTAAAATTATGTAAATTATGTATGTAAATATTTTATGCTGACTTCAAGTTTTTTTAAAGATAATTTTTTAGAAGTTAAAATTTAATTAGTTATAGAAATTATCAATTTTTTTAACATAAATTTAAAATTTACATTTAAAGATATATTATAATTGTTTTAATAACAAATAAATTTATTTATTAAATTAAATAAATTATTTAAATTTATTTATTTACTGTCTTAAATTATAAAACCAAAGCGCGTAAGTTAAATTTTTTTTTTAATAAAAAATTATTGCACATACAAAACCAAATACACATCCAGCATAAGACTTTGTCCAAAAATTTTATTCTTAAACTACATATTTTTACTCATTTTTGTTATTATAATTTCTAAATCGTATTTAGCAATAAAAATAATTCTTAAAACATAAATGTAGGCATAATCTCATTACAGATAAAATTATATTATTTGCATACACATTGTACACACACACATATACTGCTTACAAATTTGCATATATTTATTTGATGCACAAAAACAACGATCTTTTCAAATTTGCTTTAAAAAATTTACGCGCAACTCATAGTCAAATATTCAATCAATTAAACAAAAAAAACAACAAAATGTATACACATTCTGACACACATGCATATCAGCGCTTAAAACAAAAAAAAAAACATGCGAAATAGACACCTTCCTAAATTTCATAAAAAAACTACAATCCAAAACAAAAAAAACATACAAGCAAAACAAACAAATATCATAGAGCAAAAGCATAGAAAAGTACACACGCAACCGAACAAATGAAACAAGTATACACATTTCTAAATACATATTTTCGATCACTGCACAAGACAGAAATACAAAAAAAACAGCAATATTAAATTCACAACTTCATGAAAAAAAAGCAACAATCCACATATTCAAATTTCGATTTGCGTACAAAAAAAAAAATTTTTCTGCCTCTTGATCTGCTTTGAAGTTCTAATGGAACACTTCTACACACCAAATGTAAAAAACAAAAACAAGCAACCCAACAAAAGACTATGAATGAAGGCGCAAACAAAATGCGGGCCACTTACAACCCAAAATCCAACCATAGTTTCGATTCGTTTATCATCTCTCAAAAGTTTCAATGCTTCTTCTTCTCTAGATTATTTTTGCAAATTACACGTAATTTGAAATTTGAATTTTCAATTTCAATTATGACTGTAATTCAGAAACTAAATTACAAATTAAAATTATACTGTAATTCGTAATTGAGGTTTTCAATTAAATTACACATATAATCTGGAAATTCAATTATCAATTATAATTACGCTGTAATTGTAATTTAATTCGTAATTTAATTGATTTTGCACAGCTCTG